GGGGGGGGGGGTGTTATGTTGTGGACCACTCTTCATCTTCCTCGTTTTTTGTGGGTGTGTTTGTGGGTGAGGAGAAAGTGGAGTGGTGTGGGTGGTGGCGTTGTGGACCACTCTTCATCCTCCTCCCATATGCTCTATGGATCACTTGCAGATTGACCAAAGGGGCAGTGTGGGGGGGGGTTCAACACTATGAATGACCATTTCATTTTGACTTGTAGCTATAAGTAGACGCCAGTGTTTACCCCAAACCAACCAGTAAACAAATTAACGGGTGTAAAGTGGCGTAAATACAAGAATATTGTCTTTTTAGCCACACAGCCAATACCCCACAGGCACTGATATATGCCCCATCTGGCTCTTTGACCTTTGACCCCAACCCTCAGTCGAGCAGAATGCCGGTTTACCAGTCAGATCGCTTGGATTAATGAGCTGCCCCTCTGCTCGCAGCTGCTCGTCATCAGCGGCGTTCAAGATCACACACAGTCTAATCAATACGGCTCGCAGATCAGTTACCACAGGGATGAGTGGGACAGATAGAGGGGGATTGAGGTGAGAATGTGCAAGGAGAGGGAGGGGAGGAGAGGGGTGGGGAGGGATAGTGGCTCCCCCTTTACTCCCCCCTTTAGTTGCAGGAGTGTTGGATCAACAATCAATCAGGAGATAAGAGAATTTGATCTCCCGATCTCCTTCGCGCGAGACGTCCAATAAGCACTTTGAGGCTTTGTGGATAACAGATCGCAGTGGTTGTGGTCAGTTTGTGGTCAAACAGATTATGAAAAAGCAGAGTCACAATAAATCAGATAATCAAGAGGTGACAACACGCTTCTGCTATCAGACATAAATAGCTGTGAAAAGTAAGTTAGTGGGTCTGAGGTCAGGGTGCTGAAATCAGTGTATGCCTGTGCTAGAAACATATGGTAATTACCATAGACTGTGCCGCCATCTTGTGGTAGGATATCGTATAAGCTATGTATCCAAAAAATGTACATTTTTTTTTCTTCAGCCTCTGGTTTGGCCCCCTGTGTACCTCAATTACCTCAACTTGTATCTTGTTTGGACTCCTGCCTCCTCTCACACAGTACACAATAGCTGGCAGCAAACAGACCAGATGAGCCTGTCGCGTTCCTTTTCCGTGAGAAAATTAGATCATACGTAGGTCTTCGGGGCTGACCTCACCCTAGAAGAAAGGATAGCCGCCTTCCAATAATATACCCGTACTGTTTAGATTACAGCTAAATGCAAGAGGAAGTGGGTTAGGTGAACTGTGTTTAGTGTGGTGCTTGGTTGTTGTCGTAGGCTTTGTGCGGTGAATCTAGGTAAGGTCTGAGGAATGTAATGATGTCAGGCTCGCCTGGCCTGCATGCACGGCAGCGTTGTGCTCTGTTCTCACCTGCACAAGCACAAACCTGCCTCTTACCTCAACGTAGAGGAGGGGGGAGGGAGATATAGATTAAAAGTGGGAAGAAAGGAGAAGAAAGGGGAAATAAGAGCACAGGGAAATCCCAAATATCTCAGCTTTGTTTGGACAGAATTTACTTGGATTTTTGGTTTTAGAGCTGGAATCAAAGGCTGAGATGTGACTTGACATGAGGAGTCGGGTCAGCATTGTGTTGTAATAGTGTGGGCTGAGCCCTGCTGAAGCATGCTGATAATTAACCTGTTGCAGGTTCTAAAGGTGTAATCATTCTGTTGGCTGTGTTCCTTTATCTGCCTTGGCTCAAAGAAAAGGCAAACGCAAACACAATGGTATGGTAGGGCAGTTTCTGCCTGTCTGTCATTAACAGGAAGGAAAAGCCCTACCCTCCTGTGTTGTTTAATAAGGATATAATTGTATAGCTAAGGAGTGAATTAATTACCAGAATTTGTCTTTGTATTAGTGTCTTTGATGTTGAGAAAGTACTGGATATTATTGTTTGACTGTCAGGTAAAGCATTTTGTGATGATATGGTCTTCAGAGCTGAAAGAATCAATCACTGAATCAGTGAATTGATAGAAAAAGAATTTTTTAACAACACTGATAATTGTTTGAATAACTTTTATTATCATCCTTTTGCATTTTTCTGTTGTCCTGATTAATGAGTCCAAGCCAACTGTAAATATAAATTAAGTTTTTGCCTTTCACACAAGGGGATGTAATGCGTAACAGTGGAGCACAGTGCATTGCTTTGAACATACATTTGATTATTTAGTGCAGCAAGTAACGATGTTTCTTGATTATTGATCAAATTGATTGATTAGTTGATATTTTGTTTCGGCCTCTAAAATGTCATAAAATACTGAAAACACCCATCGCAAGTCCACAGTGACGTTTTGCCTGACCAGCAGTCCAAAACCTTAAAATATTCCGTTTACAATGACAATGACAGAGAGCAGCAAATCCCCACGATGGAGGAGCTGAAACTGTGCAATTGGAAAAAAGAATCTTACTTAAATTATTAATTGGTAATCAAATGATTTGCTGATATATTATCTGTTGATCAGCTAGTTGATTAGTCAACTAATTGTTTTATTGCCATTTGCCATATTGTGATATAGATCAATACCTAAAATACCTTCATTAATATCATGTTAATGATTTTACCATGTACCCCAGCCCTACTTTCCAGATTGTTTCGCATCCCACTTTCAGAGGTGTGACACGGGAAGGAGGCGAATGTTTGTGCACGTTCACCGTACTTCCCAAATGACCTGTCAGGGTGTAGCGAAGCAATTAGTGGATTGGCATCCCAAACTGGAATGCAGACCCTCTCTTTTCACGCTACACATACACACAGTCACACAGTTTGGCTCTCGGAAGTCGCAGGGCCCGAGCGCCCCACCAAGCACTGGGAAGTGTAATTACAGAGAAGTTTGCCTTTTCCCCCACCCATATCCCCCTTGTCCTCCTCCTCCACTCCTCTCCCTCCATCCGGTTGCCTGCTGCTCTAGAAACACGTTAAAATGCTCTCTGTGGCTTAATTAGCAGTCTGCAAAACAAGCCATGCATTCTTGGCCTGCTTTCAACACATGCACACATGTAAAGACACACACACAGACCTGTACACATGTGCACATACATGTGGACACGTTCACACGCAAACAGACATATGTGTGTACACATACAAGCATGAAGGCTTATATTTGAATAACAGATGTTGTGGAAATAAAGCAAGATTAAAACAGGAAACAAATTAAACACACACAATGAAAAGCCAGAGAGTAAAAATGGGTCTTAGATGCAGACACACTCAGCCTGTCTATATCTAATGGCCTTCAGCAGGGTATTCCAGAGCCAAGGAGCCGCTACAGATTCAGCAGGGGGCAGCAGAACACTGCTGGTGAGAGATGGACATCTGTGTTAAAGTGAATGGAGCGGCTGTTGATTGGTTGCCGCTTTTAATGACAGGAATGCTAATTAGGGAGATATTTATAGACCCTGGAGACCCTGAAATGTTTCAGACATGCAGCAAACGTGCACAGAAACATGCACACAACACACACATTCAGATGGAAAACACACAGAGTCAGCTGCTGGCAATGTACTGCAGAGGCTAGATGTAAAACGTGCAAATTAAATCAGTGAAAATTGATATTCATGAAGCTTACCGTGTGTGTTTGTCTAAATGTGTGTGTGTGTTCGTGTGTGTGTGTGTGTGTGTGTGTGTGTGTATGCGCAGGGCCCCTCCTGCTCCAGCGGCAGGATCAGCAGTGTGTTAGCTTCCTGTCCTGCTAGGTGAGCGGAAGTCGTAAAGCCGGTGAACATTTACTGCAACTCTCTCTCTCTCTCTCTCTCTCTCCTCTCCCTTCTCTCTCTCTCTCTCTCTCTCTCTCTCTCTCTCTCTCTCTCTCTCTCTTTCTGTCTGCACCTGGCTTACTCCATTCCCACCAACACCCCACCTCCTTCTCTACACACACATTCACACACTCATCTCATCTTAAAGCAAAAAAAAAAACAAACAACAACTCTGAGCTCCAAGTTATTAACTCTGGCATGTCTTTCTTCTGGTACTTGTTTTTAATACCTGTCTGTCAAACATTTGCTGAAATGACATTTAACTGACTTCCTGCATACAGGATTTCCTGCTTTTCTCCGAGTGCGTAACTGTGAAGTAAATATCTTTGGAATATCGAGTAATTTGAAGACACCACTTATTGCTCTGGGACATTGTAATCTTAGTTTTTTGGACATATCAATTAGAGCTGAAATGATTGGTTGATTTACAACATTAATCCACAATTGTTTTGATAATTAATTATTCTTTTTTCCAAGCAAAAGTTGCAAACATTTGCTGCTTCCAGCTTCCCACGTTTTATGCATTACTTTGTCATACCATAGTTTGAATAAGTTAGGGTTTTTGGATAGGCTCTGGGAAATTATACCGGGCATTTTTCACTATTTTGTCACATTTTATAGCCAAAACAATTCATCAGTTAACCAAGAAAGATATAGAAAGTTTTGGTTTGTTGTTTTCATGGTCTTGAGGACAGTCGATACATTTCTGAGCTTGTTTTTACAGTTCCAGTCGAGTTAAACATTACATACATTTACATTCATTCATCTTAATATCCTCTGAGTGCTTCATTAGTCATCCCTATAACATCATCACAGACAGAGAAAGGAAGTTGGGCAAGCTACAAAATATTCAGACTCAGTGTTTATAAAGAGGTCAGACCACAAGATGCTCGTAGCTCTCATGTCATGTCTCGTGACTCAGCCTCGTCAGGGATGTAGGTCGATGAGTGTTGGTGTGTGTGTGCGTGCGCTTGCTTATGCATGTGCAGAGAGCTCTGGTCTCTACATCTGAGCAGCAGGTAGGATTATTAAGGCTCAGCTATAAAAGACTGTCAAGGACCACCTCTGTGGACCACCTCAGATGTGTGTAAGCCTGTGTGTGTGTGTGTGAGAGTGTGTTTGTGTGTGTGTGTATGCATGCCCCTGCTATCTTTTTTCCTCACCTCGCTTTTTCAGTGTTTTTGTTGAACATACACTCGTTACTCACATGTATTGGAGGCCTCCGCTCTACTCAGCAGCAGCAGTATGCATTTGTTTCTAGGTTGTTTTTGTGTTTGCTGGTCTCCTTGGTGTTCTCCTGCACAGTGGGAAGTCTGCATTCTCTTTTAATTATGAGGTGTGAAAGCCTGAAAAACCAAAGGCCAACACGCAAACACGCACACACTTGGGATTAGTTGGAAGGGAGAGTCCAGGAGTGTGTTGTTAATTGTTGCACAGAGATGATCCAGTTCTTGGATCTGAATTGCGATACATCTGCTAACCATTACATACAAAACTGCAATTATGGACACACACACACACACACACACACACACACATACACAGACTTAGCCATGCATTCCATGGCCTAAAACCTACTAGTTCTTTAGTGTGGATCCCTCTGAATGTTCCCCTCTTGAACACTTGATGGCACTGGTACTTCACAGATGCACCCACCCGCAGTGTTTTCATGCACACTTGCCCCTGTTTCCCAGGGGGTGGGTGGTGGGGCTTTGAAGTTAGCACTGCTTCCCTCAGGCAGTGGAAGTTGCCTACTGTAGTGTGACTGACTTAGCAAGTCAACTGGAAAAAGTGTGTGTGTGCGGTGATGAATGTACACTGTGTACATTCATCACAGCCTCCAAGTCGCTCTTTCACTCTCGGACAAATTTCTTCTTCACCACATTCAGACTCTGGCGATGATTAAGCAGCCATGGGTCACTTTGGGAAAGGCATTGGCACTAAATTACAAGGGGCTTGGTGCTGGCGTAATAATGCGCCGCTTATGAAAGTATCCGAAATGTATCTGCAGGCTCTCGCATATTATAGAGTTACAGAGAACGCAGTGTGAGAAACATCAAGTAATCTATCAGCCAGTCTGGCAGGAAGAATAGATGTCTGAGTCAGCTACTTACTACGAGTATTCACACAACATTTTCCCTCTACAGAGAGCGGTGATTAATCTGAATGTCTCTTTCTCTCTCACTTTCCCAGACACAGATCCCCGGGTCCTGGAGAAGCAGGAGCAACAGCAGCCCACTTATCTGGCCCTAAGCTACATCAACAGGTACACACACAACCAAAGGTGTCCATCCATAGAGGGCAGCATTGCTCCACCAGTGAAAGTCTGTGTTTCTGTGTGTACATGTGGCTTTGCGGGGAACAGCTCAAATGACTGATGTCTTCCCATAGACACAGCCCTGACTCATCCGCAGACCAGCACTAAAAAACCACAGAAGACAATTCCTCCTAACTCCATGGGCTGCAAACAGCACAGCCAAAGGTGTCATGTCACAATTATGGCATGTGTGTGTTTTTGTGTGGTGAACCGATATGTCACGTCCCACTTAATGCCCCGTTAAATCACGCCGAGGCGCAGCAGTGAGCAAAATAACGGTAAAAACAGAGAGAGAAAGACAGGATGAGGTTTGTTTTCTGTGGTAATTGTTCCATTGGCGAGGTTGTAAATGTCATCTGTATTCACTGTACAATGTTGTGATGACTGTATGTTTAAAGGGGCAGTTCATTCAGCAACTCAATTATGTCCTCTCAAACCTCAGACTTTCCCTTTCATAACACCAGTGTACAGAACAGCCATGATTAGATGAGATGATACCTTAAAGGTTCCTGTTAGGTACAGCACAAACAGTAGCAGGATATAAAGAAAACTACAGTTAGGTTTATTGACGTATTATTCCAGTGAATCACAACTGAACTGGGGTCATATCTTTCAGTTTTTAAATGTGGATCCCAGGAAGACAAACTCTGCTTAAGGGCACAGCTTGTCTAATCATCATTCCTTTCAGAAATAATACCATTGTACTCAGCAAGGTAATTGCTGAGATCCTGGAACTCCGCAACATTGCTAAAAAGAAGTTAGATGGGGCAAGAAATACCAGCAGTGGGCTTATCAGACTTATTTGGGAGGGAAAACAAAGGCGATTAGAACAGCCATCACAGTTAGGGACTGACTTCCTGGTTCAGTTTTCTCTTATCGCACTCTTACCGACTTCTCAGGTGTGCTCACTTTCAGTTTTACCTCCAAATAATGTGGCTTGCTGGCATGTTTCCGTCAGATCGTCTCACTGCTTATTAGTTACATTGTTGACAGAAATAAAACAATAAACCCAAGTGGTAATGAACCAAAATTACCCTTAAAGTAGTAAATGATAGTAAAAGGTAAACTTTTACTAAACTTTTAACGTATTTTAAATATTTATTTATTTTTTGAATAAAGTTTGACATTTCAGTAGGTTCCAGTATCGCCTCCACTTATAAGGTGCTCAACTTGACATCAACATGGTTGTCAGCTGGGAGGTTTGCTGACGATGCCTCCTTGTGTGCCATCAGGTTCATGACGGATGCGGCGCGCCGGGAGCAGGAGACCATGAAGAAGAAGGCCACGCCCAAACTGTCCCTGTCCATCACCGGCGGAGTGTCCAGGAACAGCACGGCCACGCCTCCTCGCCACACCAGCGGTAACCTGACACCTCCCGTCACGCCCCCAATCACCCCCTCCTCCTCCTTCCGCAGCAGCACACCTACAGGTACGACAGGTGTGTGTGTGCGATCAAATGTGTGTTTGAGATGAAGAAGGCTGATTGCCCATACTTGTCGAGTGAATGGAGGTGTTGAAACTGACTAAAGCAAATTAACCTTACCGGCAGTAACAGAAAAGTCTTACAGTTATTGTATGAACTGCGCCCTCAGAAGCCCATTCATCAAATTCAGACAGTGTCCTGATGAGCAAATGAAGATATTTGTAACGTAAATGGAATTCAGTCGAGCAGAAGAAATTAAAACATAACATCGAGATGTCTGCCAAAAGAAAACAATCCAGCTCACCTTTTATTTAGTAATGCAAACAACAAATTATTCACTTTTAACCACAGAAGTTATTTCGTAATAAGTTGGATGTTTGAACGTTCTCATGCCAATATTTCCTCAAATTTGGGAATCATAAAGAAAATCTGCTTCCATAGCGGAAAGTGGAAGAGGCCAACCACTGTCTACTGCTGTTTGTGTGTGTTTGTGTGTGTTTGTGTGTTGTTTGTGTGTTGGCTTTGTTGGCCCCTGCAGTGAGCAGACCAGTCAACACTCTGCTAATTACATAGCAGCTGTCACGCTGTGTGTTCGCATGGGGCCGTGTATTGCACAGCCCAGAAGCAGATGTCCAATTCCAGCCCAAATGGTTACAAACGTAGTGTTAGGTCTGGGCTTATACACCAGCACGGCTACAGACACACACACACACACAACTAACGACACCACATGAGAGGGGTTGAAGTCACACACAGCACACACCACCACGATCACACTCACACATCGCACGCACGGACCGTCCTCTTTTGACATGTGGCCAAGGGTGCCAGTCATTTCGCTCATTGTCTGAGGTGCGCATTTCCTGTGAGATGGTGGGGGGTGCAGTTGGGTCTTTGTGTGTGTGTTGTGTGTGTGTGTGTGTGTGTGGTGATTGGTGATTGTCTCTGGGAACATTTCAGGTAAGGTGGTATGTGGATGTTTGTGTGTGTGTGCATGCATGTGAGTGGAAAATGTTCTGCACTTAGCAAAGCACTTTTTCCAGGCTGAGCAATGGGGATCACTCCCACTTAATGATCTCTTTCTTAGTGCCAACCCCTGCGTTTTGACTCACAGGCGCACACAGAAGCACACACACACACACACACGAATATGCACACCACTGCTGTTTTGTCTTAGCAGTGACATATGGGCTGCTAATGAATCAAAGCAGCAAAAGAATATAGAGAGAAGTATAAAAAGCCATGTATCATTTCTCTTTGGTAAACTCAAAAGTCATGATGTGCTTTTGGGTATCTCCCAATCCATTTTTCATCCGGGGTGACTACTGTTTTTTTTGTTCTACATCTTTCCATGGTACCCCCAGGCAGTGAGTATGATGAGGAGGAGGTAGACTATGAGGAGTCGGACAGCGATGAGTCGTGGACCACAGAAAGTGCCATCAGCTCCGAGTCCATTCTCAGCTCCATGTGCATGAACGGGGGAGAGGAGAAGCCTTTCGCCTGCCCTGTCCCCGGCTGTAAGAAGAGATACAAGGTAAGGCTATACCAGAGGACTGAGAAGTCAGTTACAGCAACGCAGCCATAGGACACGAGGTTTAGTAGTTTCTGACGTCCACACTGGAGCTTTTGTCTGAGTATCACATGTCTGGACACATTATAAATCCAGAATGTCGTGATTGGAAGCAGTGATAAATATATCATGGTGTATTTGCTTTGGTTGAATTTTATTGCAGCTGGTAACAAAAACCTCATTCAACTTGTAGTCCCTGCTCTTTGACTAATGGATGTGGGAACATTACTCTCTTATACCCTTTTTGGACCAAAACAGTGACGTAGGATAAAGCCATATTTGTTGTTGATCTGAATGGGTCCACATGTGTTTTCCAACCTGACTTTTCCAGCCAGTGTCTGACCAGAGTTTGATGCAGGTGAAGACAAATGGTAAAATGGTGAAGAGGGGTTTCTGCAATAACTTTACTTTAACAGTTACTGTAGAATGATTATATAATAATCAGTAACTAATGGGTATCCAATCAAATAAACGCAACAAATAAACAATATAATGAACAGTAATGCTATAAAATGCGTTTTAAATTAATTTTGCAAGTGGCTAATTTAGGATTTCCCAAACTTAATTGCAGGTTCAAGTTTGCAATCCTAATCTGTGTTAATGCTACCACTAGCAGCTGGTTATCTTAGCTTAGCATAAAGATTGACAACAGCTAGCCTGGTTCTGTCTAAAAGTAACAAAATCTGCAAAAAAACAGCACCTAAAGTTCACTAAATAACACGTTATACTGTAATTTATTTTGTTTAAAACAAGATACAGTATATGTGTAAGGTACTATAGTTAGACCTGGGTCAACAAGTGAACCGCCTGTGACTGCAGTCCGGAATGAAAGGGTCGAACACAGGTTATATTGCGTGTCAGTATTGCGTGTCAAACATAGTTTGCGTGTAAAAAGGGTTACTTTGCAACCCTTCTCCCCTTTCATTATGTATCTCCTCTCCCGGTCTCTTCAGAATGTGAACGGTATCAAGTACCACGCCAAGAATGGCCACCGCACGCAGATCCGTGTGAGGAAACCCTTCAAGTGTCGCTGCGGCAAGAGCTACAAGACCTCGCAGGGCCTGAGACACCACACCATCAACTTCCACCCACCCGTCTCCACCGAGATCCTGCGCAAGATTCAAGGCTAGATCCCCTGGTCACACTAGTCAACTACCCCAAACATAGCCCTATCCTGACTTTCCTCATCTGATCCCTTTTATACCCGTGCCACACACTAAAGGATCAAGTGCATGCTTTAAGTTGTTTTAATTTAGTTTTTTTTTTTTTCATCTTTTTTCTTTGTTTGTTATATTATTTTTTTCTATCCATGTTATATCACCTGTATTTTTGAAAAAAAAAAGGTATCTTTGTAGTATTTTTAATGTTGTACATTTGCACATTCGTATATGCTATCACGTTACTTTTTTCTATTGTTGGACTTACATAAGGTGCTAACTGTAAAAAACAACAGAAAGAAAAGACAAAAAAACAAATGTTATGAAAGAAGAGAGGGGAAACGCAAACAGAACATGTGAAACAGGAAGTGCAACCAAGCCCTGCCCCTTTTGCCGCTCGTCTATAAGCGCTATGAAGTTGACATTAGTGCTGATCTAAGTTCAGCAGTCGCTACACTCCCTTTCTGTTAAAGTTCGCTGAGCTTAGATCTGTGCCTTCGCAGTAACTTCTGGGGGGTTAAGTGCAAGAGTTAAGTTATACTTTAAATAGATATATTGATATAAAACAATAGATATGTATGTGTACATAAAAATATATAAAAGTATTCATGAGCATATACATAAATAGTTAGACTTTATTTTCAAGCTTTATTTTATATATTTTATCAGTGTTTTAGATAGTGATTTTTTTCTATGTATCAGTAAGTGTTCCTTTCATTCCTTATTTGCTGAGACGGCCAGTTTTGTCACCTCAGAGGTCAAACAGCTAGCTGACTTTCAGTTCCGAAAGTTTGTCTCTCACCACATTCTAGAGATTAGAAGCCAATACGCCTTTCGGTTCGACACGCACTCTGAATTGCGTGTGATATTTCACTGTTGATCAGGAAGGGATGCTCAGCGCTGAACGTATTTGAACACGGCCCAAGCCAGTAATCCATATCTTTAACATTTCATCCCCACAGAAAGCCATCCGTCTATTTCATATCTCCAGTGTTTCCTCATTCAGAGTGCCAGAGCTGTAGTTCCAGAGATTCTGCTGTGAAAGCAGGTCAAGCATCATACTGTATTCCGGTTGCCAAGATCTTTGATGTTGTTTTGTTTTTCCATGATTGTTGCCAACAGCTCTCCACTGCCAAACATTGACCATACCATGTGCCTGATGGGGGGGGAGGGAGGGACGAGAG